GAGTCTTGTGACGTATGGTGAGAACTGGCATGGAAATCACAACTTAGGTGGAAAGCCAAACCTCCAGTATCTAATCTGCTGTTTGTTTATAGGATCATACTTTAAAGGCAATCATTAAAGGATTAATTTTAGATAAAGCTACTACTGTGTTAATAAATAACCATGTTTAGTGCTTACACTGTACCTGCTGCTGTGCTAAGCATTTGAATTGTAGTTGCCTCAATTAATTCTTAAAACAACTCCATTAGGTTGAAACCATTATTATGGTTATTATCCCTATTTTACAGATGAGAAAAGTGATAGCTTATCTAAGATCAAGCAGATGGTAAACAACAAAGTCAAACCTCAGTCTTAACTATTCTGCTACCTTCCCTTCCAAGTCTCTCACATTTTCATCAGTTTTAGGATAAGAACTAGGCCAAACAAAGTAACACATTGAAAACATGTGATACTCCTTTTTAAAGTCTTTCAAAAAGAAGGTCGTATATGGGTAGTATGGTTTTGATTTATTTTAACCGCATTTTAATCGATATGTCTGGAAGAAAAGCCATGTAAAACACTATTATTTAACTGCAGATTAAACTTGGGTTATTCATCTTGTTATTAAATTGTTGGTAAATGTTTCTTCATAAGAGGCTGTGCAAGCAGGATGTACCCTTGCTCTGGCTATCTATCATGTCGACTTTAATTATTTAATAGGCAGCCAGGATGGAGGAAGCACTTGTTGATTCTGTTTCCTAGATGGAATACTGAGCAAAGAGCTAGGAAAACAAAATAGATCTCATTCTTAAATTGTCTCTTTTAGTTCTAAAAGATAGATTGTAACTTTGAGAAAAGGAGAGAGCTGTCACATTCTATATAAAACTCCTTTTTATATAGCTCCTTGGGGAGGCTGTGTACCAGATGGCTCTTAGTCAGCTCTGTTGTGAATGCTGGGTCTGCCTCTGAGCTTGAGCAAGTTTGTTTCTCGGAACCTCAACTTTTTCACCTTTAGAGTCGGCTAATACCTATTTCACTAGGTACACCATAAATGTTACCCTTCCCCTACCATCACCCCTTTCCATTCAACAGTAATTATTGAGACTGTTAGTGTTACTTCTTCCTGCACACCTGACTCTTCCAGGAGCTCAAAGGCTGAAGCAGGAAGACATCAAATCAGATATTGGTGATTCAGTTTAATGGAAGCATAATAGAACTATCAGTATTCCCTAAATGCTAAAGAAGCATGAAGGACTAACTGCTTGTTTACGGGGACACATAGGGTAGCAGTGTTTGTTTTAAACATATTTTGTGTTTTATAGTCACTTAATACTGAACATTAAACCTTTGTGTTTTGTGGTCAGAAATTAGCTCAAGCACTAGGCTGATTTGCAATGCATAACAATTTGATTTTGTCTTTGGGTTAAGAGTATATTATAGCAGATGTAGCATTCTTTACAGTGATCATTATCAGATGTTATTGGTTTTATGAGACTAAAGCTATCTAAGGACATGCAATATTGGCAGCTCAATCATAGCTCACAGCATTGTGGAATTATAACATTTATGAAGCACCTAATATGTGGTTGACTCTCAGGACACTAGAAAGGTCCTTGCCCTCCAGAGTTCAGGACAAGTGGGCACAGAATTGTATGATATGCAGCATGCTTGTTTGGATGATACCTTGATAATTCCGTTGGTCCCAGTGTTGTTCTTGTTGCATTATACTTAGGTTAACTTGTGGAAAAGGGAATAATTGTGAAATCATAATTTGATAAGATATTAAGGTCATTTTGGAATGCTCTGGCATTTATCCAGTGGTCCAACACTGATTCAAAATGACTCTCAGTCATTATAATGCAGCCACTCAGGCTGAATTGACAGCAGTTTTCCATTCAGATTTGTGAAATGTCCCATTTGATGAGTAAGTTGGCAAATACAAATTTTTCTCCTTTCTCCCTGAAGGATGAAGACTTAGTCTCTGCTTCTGAATTTCTGCCCCTGCCATGGGGTCTTGGAAATGCCTGAGTCTCTGTCCCTGTCATGTTGCCACCCTTCCATACCCACCATGTGTGTGCATAAGTGGTGTTCACAGATCTTTCTGAGAGCCAGGCCTTCTCCTCTGTACCCTTGGTTCCTAAATGGGTGGTGAAACCTGATCTGCTGTCCTTCATTTACTCAACAGTGATTTACTAAATATTCATGGCACAGAGAGAGACAAGACCGACGCAAAGGGAGTGGGCTTATCACTGATCACTCTGGGCTCTGGACAGGCTAAGGATTTGATGCCACTTCACACTGGTATTCATTAAATATTTGTTCACAGTGTTTTTAAGTGGAGTAGTGAAGCACTGTATGGAAAAAGAGTAGCAAAAGAGCCCTCTGGGTCCTCCTTTTGCCAGTTTCTGACCCAAAGGAAATAGACTCATGATATTTTCTTCCAACCACATTCAATACCATCCTTGAGAAAGGTTCAGTAGGTACTATTTTTGTTTAATCTAGTTAAGTTTCCAGAGATCTAAATGCCCCATTGATGAATCCATACATGGTAGCTGCTATAATATCTAGGACCTTAATCTAACCCATGAAAGAGACATTGGGATACATCCCTGGGATACCGATAAATGAGATACTGCCCCAGCCCTCAAAGAATTGGAGGCAATAGCTTCACATATATTAATAAACACTGTAAAAGAAATATTAGCAAATGACTTCCTGGAACACAGATGAAGGAGCAACAAATTCAGCCTGTGCTGGTCTGGATGGCTCATAGAGGTGATTCCACTTGATCCAGAATGGGAGAGATGATGCAGTGGGATGTTCCTTTTTTAAATCCATCTGTTATTTATGATTTTGAGATTTTCAAACTGATGAAATGGGAGGCTTTAATTTTACGTAGTCTGAAGCCTTAAACTTATACAATTGCCTGAGGCAGGGTGAATGAGTATGACATTACAGTGATTTCTGCCGTAGCTCTCCTGCCAAAAAAGGTCCCAGTGACTATGCCTTTAACCCCGTTCAGGTCCTTTGACCAGAGATTCTTGACATCTTGCTAGATCTTTCCTAAGATTTAACTATCCCTACAAAACAAATACGCCCAAATGGAAAGCCATGCTCAAATTCCAAAATTGTATAGTAGTTCTTTGTGCACTACAAAAAAGTTTGTTTTGTCAAATCCACCATCTCTCCTAACCAGAAAGAAACAAGAACATCAAGAGTAAGATCCTTTGGGGCCTTTTGTTTTTCTATCAGAAAGCTGATTGTTGCTGTATTGTTCCTTAATCCTCAGTCACTTGGGAGCCGTGCCTTGTATGTCCTTCATTGGGAGCCTTCCTTTCAGGAAGAAGCTCTTATTTGAGAAAGAAGAGAATTTTCAGTGTTATACTTATCTCTAAATCTTCCAGAATACCCTTTTATTTTTAGGTTATCTTGGAACTGACTTTTTAAGTTAAAATACACACGTCTTGTGTCCTTCCTCTGGAGAGAGAATGTTTTTGAAGGGGTAGATCAGCTAGTTGTGTAACACTCATTAGCATAGCAAGCTGGCGGACGTGCTGACGCAGGCCGCCTGCCTCAGCAGCTGGGTCGGTCAGAATTGCTGTAACAATCTTTGTCCTCTTTTTATCCTGCCTAATATGGACTATTTATGCTATTCTAAGAAGCATTGTCATTTAGTATTTCACATTTCACTCTTCCAACTTGGTACTTTTGTGTTCTGCTAAGGAGGAAGAAAGGTGATAAGTTTAGTTATAGTTTCTAAAATTGGTTTGAATGATTTGGTTTTATCCTGAATAAAGAAACTCAGCTACATTTTGTTATTTACTTTACTTGACAGCAGTGGCTTCACCCTGATATGACAAATTTTCATTACGAGAGAGCTGTCATTGAGCTCTACATTTATATCTTCTCAGCAAAATATTCCTCTGGTTTAGGTAAATGTTAAATAGGAGAGAGGAATGAAATGTATTAGTAAGTATGCTGAAACATGTTCAATTCAACTCAAAGAAATGCCAAATAAAGCAACAATAAGATAATTTTTCACATAGGACTTAGCAAAATTTTTTAATAATGATTTCTAAATCTGGTGAGGTGTTACTCATACATTGTTGACAGGAAAGAAAATTGGTATAACCTTTCTGAGAAATAATTTGATGCTGTATATCAGAGGCCTTAAAATGTTTATGCTCTTTTGACCTAATTCCTTCATTTTGGAAGTATATGCAAAACAAAACAAAAAAAACATATGAAGAGTACAGAGATGTTTACAACATTATTAGTATTAAAAAAAAAAGGAAAATTGAAAATTTAGTAGGGGAATGATTTCGTAAACTAAGACATATCCATGCATGAACTATATGCTTCCATCAAAAATGATTCTTAAAGAAACTTCGTAGCAGTATCAAAAAAGCCTGTGATATATAAGTGGCAAAAAAAGATCTCAGTATTGTGCCATTGAATTTTATAATGGCATAATTGTATAAAACCAGTGGGTCAGCAAAAATTAAAAACTGGACAAAGAAAACTATCCCAAATGTTAAGTCTTTCACTGCGTTTCCCCTTTTAAAAAGCATAGATACTTTCAATTTGTTTTTCTGTCTTATATTTATAAAATCAGTGGTACTCATATATAATGCTGTCTTATTCTCCATTAAAAATTCATTGTGCACTTTGGGAGGCCGAGGCAGGTGGATCACGAGGTCAGGAGATGGAGACCATCCTGGTTAACATGGCGAAACCCTGTCTCTACTAAAAGTACAAAAAATTAGCCGGGCGTGGTGGTGGGTGCCTGTAGTCCCAGCTACTCAGGAGGCTGAGGCAGGAGAATGGCGTGAACCCGGGAGGCGGAGCTTGCAGTGAGCCGAGATCGCGCCACTGCACTCCATCCAGCCTGGGCGACAGAGCGAGACTCCATCTCAAAAAAAAAAAACAACAAATTCAACGTTTATGTTTTGTGCCTTGTAAGCTACTGTTGTGATGAAGTAAAATGTGTAGTTTGTGACAGTGATTTGTTTCTCTCCCTGGGTAATAGTTAACCTCTTTGAGAAATCAGAAGGTGATCTCTTTAATGCTTTCTTTTTAAGTAAGTTATCTTTTGTATGTTTCATAAAATTATTATATATGTTGGAAATTTTAGAACCATATCAGTGGATGAATTATCTTGCAGTCCTGTGATGTGTAAAATATAACAATATGCTTGTGATTTCTCCTTAGGAACTTTTCAAATTGAGACTAATTGCAGAGGTTCCAGTTGACCAGCATTCATAGGGTAAGATTAACATCCTGAATTATAAACACATGGTAAAGATAATTACAATTAAGTTGGTAGCTTGGGGCAAATAGATACTGAATACTTAGTATGTAAAAGAGATTACTATTCTTACAGATGTTTTGAGTAAAATCTTTCTGAGGTTTTTAAACCAGTTAATAAACAGAAAATTAGATCTGTAACCTTTTAGTAAAAATGTCATCTTCCTACCTTTTGTGGATTTTGTATGCAGGAAAATATATGTGTATATGATATTCATCATTTTTAACAGTAAAATCTAAGGAATATAATAAATGCCCATGGCAGACTTAGAGTCCATGTCTGTATTTTTCTGATTTTTGTTTAAGGTAGAATTTTTAATACTGCCATAGATTTGGTTTGCTGTATTTCTGTTAAGTAAAAGAAGGCCATACTTTCTTTGAGTAGGCAAATCAGAAATAAGCCCTATACTCCGTTGCTTCCTGCAAACATCATTCCGTCTTTTGTAATTGCAGAAGATTAATCTTAAGTTAGATTGTAGCAGTGCTTTTAGCTTTGACACAATGAATGAAGAATTTGTACGCTGTATAATAGCACAACTCTCTAATGTTCTGAATACACCTTAAAAGTGTCACCCAGCTCTGAACATATAGTCTAGATGAATCAGTGGTGAAGATAAGCGATCTGTCACCTACAGCATTCTAAACACCCTTCTTTTTTACAGATGAAGGTGAAGATCCTTTGACTTCTTAGGTATATTCACATTTCCATTCTGACTCATTGAGTTAACTATAAATTCTTTTTAATTTTATAATTTCAACTTTTATTTTAGATTCGGGGATACATGATCAGGTTTGTTATCAGGGTATATTGAATGACACTGAGGTTGGGAGTAAGGATGATCCTGTCACCCAGGTAGTGAGCATAGTGTACAATAGGAAAACTTTCAGCCCTTGCCTCTCTCCCTTCCCTTCTCCTTTTGGAGTCCCCAGTGTCTGTTGTTCCCATCTTTATATCTATGTGTACCCAATGCTTGGCTCCCACTTATAAGTGAAAAAATGTATTTAGTTTTCTGTTTCTGCTTTAGCTCATAGAGGATAATGGCCTCCACCTTCATCCATGTTGCTGCAAAGGACTTGATTTCCTTCTTTTTTATGGCTGTGTAGTCTTCCATGGTGTATATGTACCACATTTTTCATTTTTTTCTTTATCTTTTTTTTATTTTTATTTTAAGTTCAGGGGTACACGTGCAAGTTTGCTACATAGGTATACTTGTGTCATGGGGGTTTGTGGTGGATATTATTTTATCACCCAGGGATTAAGCTGAGTACCCATTATTTTCCCTGGTCCTCTTTCTTCTCCCACCCTCCACCCTTTGATAGGCCCCAGTATGTGGTGTTCCCCTCTATGTGTCCATGTGTTCTCATCATTTAGCTCCTACTTGTAAGTAAGAACACGTGGCTTGCAGAACATTTGGTTTTCTGTTCCTGCATTAGTTTGCTAAGGATAATGGCCTCCAGCTCCATCCATGTCCCTTCAAAGGACATAGTATCATTTTTTTTATGGCTGCATAGTATTCCGTGGTGTATATGTACCACATTTCCTTTATCCAGTCTATCATTGATGGGCATTTAGGTTGATTCCATGTCTTTGCTATTGTGAATAGTGCTGCAATGAATATACACATGCATGTGTCTTTATAATAGAATGATTTATATGCTTTGGGTATGTGCCCAGTAATGGGATGGCTGAGTTGAATGGTGTTTCTGTCTTTAGGTCTTTGAGGAATTGCCACATTGTCTTCCACAATGGTTGAACTGATTTACACTCCCACCAACAGTGTGTACGCATTCCTTTTTCTCCACAACCTCATCAGCATCTGTTTTTTGACCTTTTAATAATATCCTTTCTGGCTGGTGTGAGATGGTATCTCATTGTGGTTTTGATTTGCATTTCTCTAATGATCAGTGATGCTGATCATTTTTTCATATGCTTCTTGGCCGTGTGTATGTCTTCTTTTGAGTAATGTCTGTTCATGTGTTTGCCCACTTTTTTATGGGGTTGTTTTTTCTTGTAAATTTGTTTAAGTTTCTTAAGATGCTGGATATTAGACCTTTGTCGGATGCATAGTTTGCAAAAATTTTTTCCCATTCTGTAGGTTGTTTGTTTACTCTGTTGATAGCAGAAGCTCTTTAATTTAATTAGGTCCATTTGTCAGTTTTTGCTTTTGTTCCAATTGCTTTTGGCATCTTCATTATTAAATCTTTGCCCATGCTTATTGTCCTGAACGGTATTGCCTAGGTTGTCTTCCAGGGTTTTTATAATTTGGGATTTTATGTTTAAGTCTTTAATCCATCTTGAGTTAGTTTTTCTATATGGTGTAAGGAAGGGGTCCAGTTTTAATCTTCTGTATATGACTAGCCAGTTATCCCAGCACCATTTATCAAATAGGGAATCCTTTCCCCATTGCTCTTTTTTGTGTTGTTGAAGACCAGATAGTGGTAGGTATGCGGTCTTATTTCTGGGTTCTCTATTCTGTGCCATTGGTCTATCTGTCTGCTTTGTGCCAGTACCATGCTATTTTGGGTTATTGTAGCCCTGTAGTATAGTTTGAAGTCTGGCAATGTGATGCCTCCAACTTTGTTTCTTTTGCTTAGCATTGCCTTGGCTATGCAGAGTTTTGTTTGTTTGTTTTGTTTTGTTTTGTTCCACGTGAAGTTTAAAATGGTTTTTTCTAGTTCTGTGAAGAATTTCAATGGTAGTTTAATAGGAATAGCATTGAATCTATACATTGCTTTGAACAGTATAGACATTTTAATGATACAGATTCTTCTTATCCATGAGCATGGAATGTTTTTCCATTTATTTTGTGTCATCTTCAACTTCTTTGAGCAGTGGTTTGTAGTTCTCCCCAGTTAGCTGTATTCCCAGGTATTTTATTCTTTTTGTGCCAGTTGTAAATTGGAGTTTGTCCCTGAGTTGGCTCTCGACATGACTGTTGTTGGTGTATAGGAATGCTAGTGATTTTCACACATTGATTTTGTATCTGGAGACTTTGCTGAAGTTATCAGCTTAAGAAGCTTTTGGGCTGAGACTATGGGGTTTTCTAGACATAAGACCATGTTGTCACAGACAGGGATACTTTGCTTTCCTCTTTTCCTATTTGGATGCGCTTTCTTTCTTTCTCTTGCCTCATTGCCCTGGCAAGGACTTCAATACTGTGTTGAATAGGAATGGTGAGAGAGAGTATTATTATTGTGTGCTGGTTTTCTTTCTTTCTTTTTTTTTTTTCTTTTTTGCTAAGGAGTGTTTTACTTCCAAGTATGTGATCAATTTTAAAGTATGTACCATGTAGCAGTGGCAATGAGAAAAATGTATATTGTGTTTTTGGTTGGATAGTTCTGTAGATATCTATCAGATCCATTTGATTCAGTGTTGAGTTTAGGTCCTGAATATCTTTGTTAATTTTCTGTCTCAGTGACCTAATATTGTCAGTGGAGTGTTAAAGTCTCCTACTATTTTTGATTGGGAGTCTAAGTCTCTTTAAGGTCTCTAAGAACTTGCTTTGTGAATCGGGTGCTCCTATGCTTATGAAGCTTCGTTTGGCCAGATATGAAATTCTGGGTTAAAATTTCTGTTAAGAATGTTGAATATTGACTTCTAATCTCTTCTGGCTGGTAGGGTTTCAGCTGAAAAGTTTGCTATTAGTCTGAAGGACTTTTCATTGTAGGTGACCTGACCTTTCTCTCTAGCTGCCTTTAACATTTTGTCTTTCACTTCAACCTTGGAGAATCTGTTGATTGTGTGTCTTGGGGATCATCTTCTTGTGAAGTATCTTACTGGGGTTCTCTGCACTTCCTGAATTGAATGTTGGCCTCTCTAGCTAGATTGGGGAAGTTTTCATGGATGATATCCTGAAATATGTTTTCCAGGTTGGTTCCATTCTCCCCATCTCTTTCAGGTAAACCAATCAGCCATAGATTCAGTCTTTTTATATAATCCCATATTTCTTGGAGGCTTTGTTCATTCAGAAAGGCCATCCTCCAACTTTGAGATTATTTTGTCCACTTGGTCTCTGCTGTCTGCCTGTCATTTGAAAGGTGAGAGTGTGATTCAGAAGGGATTACATAGGCAGTGGGTTTTGTTCTACATAGTATGACTTGCTTACTGTGGTGTGGGGTGTGGTCAGGAAAATAGTCTTATAAGCAGCAAAAGGTGATGGAGAAGGATTTGAGGTTGCCTTCTCTATAAGAATTATCCAGCAACTCGTGGCTTATGCTTGTGTTCATATTACAAGAATATGGCTGCAACTTCTTTTATTTTAAGTAGATTTTAGAAAATATAGTAGCTTACTAAAAACTTCAAAGAATTGGGAGATCTTTTCCTAAAGAGAAAAATATTATCTACATTAAATATATGATGTATTCTGTAACTGTCAGAAATAAGTAAAAGTGAAGCAATATTCCTTAAAGTTTAGAACAACTCAAATGTCGGCCGGGCACGGTGACTCACACCTATAATCCCAGCACTTTGGGAGGCCGAGGTGGGTGGATCATGAGGTCAGGAGATAGAGACCATCCTGGCTAACACAGTGAAACCCCATCTCTACTAAAAATACAAAAAATTAGCCGGGCATGGTGGCGGGCGCCTGTAGTCCCAGCTATGTGGGAGGCTGAGGCAGGAGAATGGCGTGAACCCGGGAGGGGGAGGTTGCAGTGAGCTGAGATCACACCCTGCACTCCAGCCTGGGTGGCAGAGTGAGACTCCATCAAAAAAAAAAAAAAAAAGAACAACTCGGATGTCATTAGGATTTCTATAATTTCTATATTTTTCCCATAGTTTTAATTCACTCAGTAACTTTTAAATTTAATTTATTACTTACTATTTATAGTTATTTATTTTATTTCATTTATTCAGTAACTTTCTCTAAGGGCTTCTGATGACTAGGGTAATTTTCCTAATGTTTAGAGTATTCATCAGATTGTTTCCCAGACCCATTATCTTACTACAGCTTTGGGTCA